GTTAAGACTACTTTTCCGTCATTAGGGGAGCATGTCAGTCCGATCTCTTTGCTCATTAGACATTGACTGGTCAGCTCAGTTGGCTGAATACCCGACCCCTTAACATCGGCGATAGCATACAGACATGGGAACGAACAGGTTTTTTTGAACTTAATTCACTGTGTTTTTAATTTTAGATGGGAACCCTCAAGACGGACTACTACACCGACAGGGAACTCACTCTGGGAGCGACAATCAATGTTTACGGGAGGAAATTCCTCATTTGTGACTGCGATGAATTTACAAGAGAATATTACAAAAACAAATACGGCATTAGTGAGTTAAGCGAGCGTTTGTCCCGGCACTACCTTTGCAGTTGAAGTGCTAGAACATCCTCAGCCACAGAGAAAAACATAGGGTATGAATGTAGCACAACCAGCACTAGGAAGGTCGGCCTCATGCGACATAACTGTAATGTAACTGTCATCGAGGTATGTTTGGTAGTCTAGAATACGTCGATTACTAGTGGACACGAATTAAATCTCATTATAGACTTTACAATGAGGTAATCGTGCTTTCGCTCTCGTCGATGTTGGAATTACACCTCACTAGACTACGTGCAATGCAAGGGTTCAGTCGTGAATTAGAAAGATTCAGAATAACAAGGTGCGACACTTGAGGAAAGAAGTTTGTTGGCCTGAGGTTTCGAATCCTCACTCGAACCCATCATCAGAGACGTTATCGTTAATCTGCAGCCACATCTGATGATGGACTTGAATGCGAATCCGTAACGTCAGGCCAAAAAACTTTCTGCTCCAAGAATTGCATCTTCTTCTTGTGAGCTGCTTCCTGGAACATTCCTGTTCGCTTCTATTGACAATTAGGAAGGTGTCTTCATCCGTCCTATCGAAAACTCCATGCTGGTGATAATTTAGATGTAACGGCGTCGACCTCAGTTACCTCTTTCTTTGTATATTCATTAATGGCATGGTTTGTTTAAGCTGCTTTAGGAACTCGTCTGGGATTTTGGATGCGTTCGCTTACGCTTGATGATTTTGGCACATATTTCAACGCGCACATACTTACTTTTGTTATGCATAGCTGTTCTTGAAAGATGACATTGTTCCTACTACTGTTTCATTGCCTGTTTTAATTACATATGTACAAGGTTTTAATAGCTTATTTTGCATGTTATATACTCAAGTTACTTGCTACTATTCTGCACGTTGATAGCTTTTGAAAGCACTGTTCATTTTTCGCTTTTCGCTCTTTATTGGTTGTGCAGACTGTGTTTTCAAATAATATCGGACCAGCCATCTGTTGATTACTTTGGAAAGACGCAGCTTTTGCCAGCGCATCGCTAGTCGTTTTCGTGGTTTTCACAATATGGAATTTTGGTTTGGGTGAAGATGAATTGTGCTCTCACACGATTTTTGTAATTTTTTAATTTATCGAGGTGCTTTTGTACGGATTTCCACCTGACACACCCAACAAGCCCTACGTCCACCGGCTGACGGTTGAACCGTCATGTGCTTGTCCCACCTAACGAGGTCAGCATGGCTCAAGACGCGAGATTGTCGGGTCGTTCTGAATGCGCACAACACTGTTGTCATTGTCGTACACAAACCGTAACTCATTTTTCCCCGAGATACTGCAAGGCAGAGACCTGAGCGGGAAAAGACACACTCTCTTTTAATTCTCCTGACAGAAGTCTTCAAAAATCTCCTAAACTCCAAAACGTCCCTCTTGATTCAAGACATTAGGAGGCAGAAATTACCTCGACGCGCTTTTCTAGCCTTTCTTTATTCAGTTTAACGATCATTTATGACTCTAAATCAGAGAAGTATTCTAGTTGTGCATGATAGTGCCGATGGATGCAGGCATGCCAAGGAACTTTTAATATTTCCGATACTTTGCAGAATGAATAATCCTTTAAGGAGAGGAGGGAGTTGCAAAATTGGAAAACGTTTTTCCACCACGGCATCGAACCTTCGATCTCCTGGTTTAATCGGATGTGCTATACTAATTTGACTATCGCAGCAAGCTTCCCAACCATGCGCGGAATCGAAAGAATTTTGTTTTTGGCCCACAAAATGGCCTCATTTTAGTCCGAACGTCCGTTCTGCCAGGCTTGTGAAGGTAACCTCTTATACGTGGATAGTGGATAATCGCAATAGCCGACCTTTCTCTGGATGGTCGTTTTATTAATTAGAAACTCCCATATGTCAAAATCTTAAAGCGGAAGCCGGAAATTCCATATGGTCAAATTAAAATCAGCATGTAGTCCCTAGTTATCCATTCAGCACGAACTAAAATGTCCCTTTGAAGACTGGCATATTAGTAAAGATAGTACCGCTGATAAACACCCAAACCGACGCCTGCCTCATATCTTTTATTAACGCGGATATCTACTATTTCGCACTATCCTTGTCACCTGATGGTGCCCGGGTTCAGAACTCACCATTAAAATAATATTGGCGAAGTGTTTTGCAACTAAAGAAGTTATGGTAGCATGTTTACTTAGATCTAAGTATTATTTATGGAGCTTAATAGATCCTTCCGAATCAGTCCCTATTGCGCTTAAATACGCTGAACTATCTTGAATGCGCTAAATCCGTGCCTTCTGCAGTGTCATTTACACCAGTCCCGCCGCCGCGATCGGCCTGCCCACAGCCACCTCTCAACAAGAACCCGCCTTACAACGGTTGGGGCTCAGACGAAGACTCGCTGGCCAACTGCAAGGGCCTGATTCCGAAACCGCCCCCGAAGGACTTTGTGAAGTTTATGGAGAAGGACAAGGTCGGTTTGGAGTCACACGTTTTGCGATTCGCAGCTCGCATCGTTACAGACCTGCCACAGGACCGCGACCGTTGCTTCATCATATACTGCTTCCTCACTGATGATACCTTCCTGATTTACGAGCCGCCAGTGCGGAATTCTGGTAGGTCAACAGCGGGTCTCAGGATAACGTGTCATATGTTTAGCAACGGATTAACTGCTTACTCACTGGTATTTAGTAGCACATATAGTCTGATTATTTATTTTCAGGTTTTAAGGGTGGCAAATTCATGGAACGTAGGAAGGTGATGAAGCCGGGCCAGGAACGCTTTCGCATCAATCTACCGGACTACTACACCACAGTGGACGTCTACGTCGGCGCTGTAGTCGATTTCAATAACTTCCTTTTTGAGGTATGCGGGGCAGACGAGTACGCGTACAGATACATGGAGCAGCACCCGGCCGAGTTCCCTTTCTCTGACGTGCCCCGAATTATGTCTAAACTCAGACCTCTAATGAAGGGCAGGGAGGAGGAGATGAATAATTTCGTAAAAGAACTGGACCCTGAAGGAGCGAAAAGCATGCCCTATGCAGATTTTGAAAAGTTGATTCAAAAGCTTCTCAGCGATCCACGTTACGATCGTGTCTGTATTGTGGCGCATGAGATAGCGACGTTAGCTCGAAATTATGCGGAACGGTGAGATTTTGCCTATTTTCACGCTCTTTTGTCAAATACTTTAGATTGAAATTGCCTGCACTGGTTTGATATTTTACTGTTTTTTTTCTGCTTCTAGTATACCGACCAAGAAGAATTATATGGCTATCATTGGATTGGCCCAACAACAACTGCGTAAAGCACCCTTCGAGAACTTCCAGGCCCTCCTTGATGCTTGCCGTTACGAGGACGTTAATAAGACTGGTTCAATGAGTCAGACGGACCTGCGTCGTATATGCCGGGCGAATCACTTTCCTCTGCCGGATGACATGCTTTATACACTGATGGAAGTGTAAGCGACATTTCGCGCCTGCACATACTAAATAAACTTCCTACTAATACTGTTCTAGTAGCGGTTTTTGCTCCATTTAATTACAGATCCAAGAATTTCGATAACGGACTGGTCTACTATGAAAGCTTCATTAACCAACTCAACTGGCGTTGCAATCCTGTGCCTCCAGGAACGGTTCCGTGTGATTATTCCGGCAATCTGGAGGTGGACTGGTTTACTGTTGTTACTGGACAAGGATCTAAGACGGCCGGAAGCTGCAAGAAGGTGCTCACTTGTTTGGGTGCAGAGCGCGTCAACTACACCAACTTCCTGACAGACCTTATGAATGCCGGTCAATGTAAGTAAACTGGAAGCAGATGCAACACCCCCGCACTCCGCTCTATTAGGCTCCGTATCTCGGATCAGACAAGTGGTAGCAAGTTTAGGTTGGGTATGATTGCCCGTGGAACGCCACTTCCCTCACCGCCAGATAGTTGACTTGATCAAATTATCGCCACAGTTCCGTAATTGCATGTAACTTTGCAATAAAATTGCTGTTCTCGCTGATTTTCGCTTTCTTCATTCTACTAAACACTCTTCTTATGACCCTTGAATGTGACACTTTTTTGGACAGAAAGCTAGTTGGCAGGAGGTGGCTTGGGAATCCGGCCCACGGGAACCCCGCATATTTAACGTGGTTTCCAAACGGACGGCGACAAGAACGATGTAACCGGTAAGAGTTAAACCCATCCTCAGGGTGTTAGAACGATAGGATGGGTTGGTGAAGTCGGTCGTTTTCACACAGCCTTCAACTCAACGCAGTTATCTCGAATTCGCAGAGTAACCAAAAGTTAGGTAAGGCAATGCCACCCTTACTGGAAGATAAGATGGAATTAAACAATGGGTAGCGTCACGGACTGTGAAGTTGACCAAACCCGTATCTGCTGTTGTCTCTGATGATGGATTTGGACAGGAATCCGAAACATCAGGCTAATAAAGTTCTTGTCCCAGCGATCGTGTCTCCTTCTTCAAGACTACTTCCTGGGACTCGTCTCTTCACTTCTTTTGGCAGTTGAACATCCTATTGTCCTGCAGCCCAGAGGTAGGTTTCCTGTATCAGATCAAGCAGTTGACCCCCCCATTCTCGCGGAATGATCGTCAAAATGTTGGAGTTGAGCATGATTTCTGCCGTCCGCCAGGCCTGACCTACTCGTTTTAACTAGGTGGTGCTGCAGGTAGTTTATGATGGTAGTAGACTTACGCAGCGTCTACCACATTTATCCCCTCCTCCTCCTCCTCCTCCTCCTCCTCCTCCTCCTCCTCATCCTTATCCTCATCCTCATCCTCCTCCTCCTCCTCCTCCTCCTCCTCCTCCTCCTCCACCTCGGCCCGGTGTCAAGACAGAGCCGAAACTGGAGACGGGAGAGGCCGTCGGTGGCTGAAACGGTGAAATCCGCGCCTGGGCGTACCACCACATCTCTGGCTTGCAACAGACACTAGTTGGCCTACAGATATGATGAAATAAAGAATAAAATTGCCCAGCCAGTGTCCGTAATCGTAGCTTATGTCATGGTTTTCATCAGTAAACATGGGACCAGCTCGTACCTTACTGACGTCAAAAATCGATTCATACAGATCTACCGTCTCTTGTATGCGCACACCAACCCTCTCGAGGCAGAATGTCTGGGTAGGTTTTTGAGCCCAAAGGCCCAACATTCCGTTGATTCAGTTCGAGGAAAGTGTGCAGTCACACGATGAACGCTCACATTTGAACCTCCAACGTGGAAATTGCAAGTCCTCTTCGACCTTTTAACACGCGTGCGTTCGACAGATTGACTTAGTACTCTCCAAATGCCTCAGAAAACCCCGTGCCCAACGTCATCCTACAATCAGGAAAGCTATAGACTTAGATACAGCACAGGGATTTGTTGGTAAATGGGGTTTTCCCTCAGTCAACTGGCGAATCTGACGATTCCGAGGCAAAAGCAAGCCGCGAAGGCGATCGACTGCAAGATTTCCTTTATTTTTGGCTGGCTGCGAGGAATAATGTTTCCGGGGGGTAGAATGCGCCACACTACGGCTTTCTGCACAACCCCACCAGTGAAGTTGATACTGACACCACGACTTCTTACGTCCACATTGTCCCCGCACATTCGTCCCACGCATCGGCCTGATAGGTCACCTGCGGATCCATCGCACAGAGGCCGACAAATCAGTGCCTGGAGTACTAACCTACACTCGCCGTATCTGCCTCCATTGCCCACATTGCACTCGCACATTTAATCACCGCATGGGTCTATTAGGCCACATGCGCGTCCACGAAATCCTGCGTTAGATCACCGCCGGCTGCATCACATCCTCCCCCACTAGCATCTCACCGCACATCAAACTCACCCACCTCAGACACCCAACCGCCATCTCCCACGGAAGTGGGAAGCGTGCGTCTCCGCTCCTTATCTATGAGACTCCCAGCTGCATGTGCGATCGGAGTCTGAGACTGCCACGGTGTGTCGAACGTCGTGGCTCGGATGGGAACCGACTGACGTCCCAACTCAGTCCGTCCAGTTGTGTGTGTTTGTGTGGAGAGGTGGGCTGAGAGCCAGGCTGAAGCGGCTCCTTCTCCAGGGATTTGTGACACTCGTGTATGTGAGGAGTGTACGTATTCTATGGATAGTGCCTCTCAGTCGAAGACTCAGTTTGGTTACCTTACCTTGGGTAACGGCCCAGGCTAGAAGTGGTACCTTCTAGGTCAAAAGGTCCGGTTAGCGTGTGCTTTGCCAGTATTAGTAAACCATAGCCCTCTCAGTCTGGTATGCGATGGCAGTTCCCTGACACCTGGTTGCATGCCAATAGGTGCGCCTGCGCACCCACCGGATATACTGGTTGTGGGCATGGTTACCCAGTCATTCTCGTCGCTCTGGCCCCCTGTTTGGGAGTTGTTGTTGTTGTTGAAGAACAATCCTGGTCATTTGCTGTGTGGACCAGGGGGTGTGGTGGTACGCGTAGGTGCGGCTCTGGCCGTGCCAGCCACCTGCGCCCTCCCCCACCTCCGGTCTTCTTGACTCTATCTTGGCACCAGGGCCATGTAGGGAATGGGGAGGAGAGAGCGCGGTAGATGCTGTGCAAGTCCACCACCACTATAAACCAACGCACTCACAAATCACCGTCCCTGCTCCGCCTTACTGGGAAGCACACGGTGGACATAGTCAAAACCGATCGTTGAACTCTACTGCATGTGTGTGTATGCTACGTCCCACCTATTTGGATGCTAAAATCACACGAGAAACAGTCAGTCCACAAGCAGTAGACCCAGTCCATGCTGCTTCAGAGCCGTTGGAAGTCAGATAAGGCAAGTTTTGACTCGTGCGACATCGTGGAAAACAGGCTGAGGAAACGGCAAGGCTGTCCCGGAAATCTCACTCTCTCTTCCTTAGGGGCATAACACTCCGATGCTCTTCTGCATTTCATTGCTCTACCACCCTGCCAGGGTCTGATCACTTGTCTGGACATTAGAGCGAAAAGACGTCTCCGCCAACTCCTCAGACTACTTGAACGGTATGGAGTGATTACCAAAATTACAGTTTGTGGATTTCGTGAGGGTCCACGCTCATAAAGCATGCGCAGGCGGCAATTTTTCAAGGAGGTTGGCCCCGGGGCCTGAGTTGTCGAAGGACAGCTTGCCTCCTTATTAATGCACCTGATGAGTCCGTTTGGCTACAGTTACTAGTTAACCCATCTCCGCCCTCCAGACCTTCAATCAATTTATTAAACTTCAAGGAGAATTCTAAGAACATGGCAGCAGTCAGGAATCATTGGTAAGCCAGTTAATGAAAGGGTGTGTTTGTGTGTGTGTTCTCGGGTGTACATCAGACATGTTAGAGTTCGCGCACCAACATGCCAAACTTAGCGCAAGGTGAAGGGTTAACACGAGTTGCCAGGTGAATGTGATGGAGCTGAGGGGATTATTAGGTATTGGATGGTGGTGTCAGCATTTAATGCTCACGTCGCCTTATAGTTTGCATCGTCCTTTACTGCACACTTGGCCTGAAAAAGAAACGAAACGGGGGTAGCAGCAAATGGGCTCCGTTGTCAGAGAGCGACTTGGCAACAATCGAATATGTAAGCCCTATGTTTTTAGTTCTGCGACATGCCTGTTTATTTGAGTTAGGTAGACATGCTACATGAGAGTCGGGCTTTGAGTCTAGTTTAAGAAAATAATAACAGTTGTGTTTAAGGTCAAAATGAGGTGTAATGTTAAGACTTAGTTGGAGATTAGGGTTAGGGATAGGGGTAGAGTTAGGGTTAGTATTAAGTCTGCCTGCCGCATACTGTTTTACCCAGTCCGACCCTATTTAGCCAGTAACCTCGGATAGCCTGTTTTTTCGACGGCTTATATGACCTTATTGTAAATTGCGCGGTTTGATTTAGCACCTCATTCGAGTAATAATACAAACATATGATAGAAATTCGAGTTTTCTCAATGCCCTCTGCCGGTTCTGTTTATTGTCGTCCCCATCTGTGTTACTTATAAAAGTAGTATTACTACCCCTCCCACAGTACAGGAGTCCCTGCTCTTTATTTTTTTAAGTGGCCTACTTATCCGATCCTTGCCAGTATCTCAGGTAGTAAAAAAGGCAGAGCAGAGTTAACCTTCGTCTCGCATTCGCCTGTACTGCTCCTCAACTAAACCAAATGGAAGGACAAGATCATCAGTTCCAGTCAGACGATCAACAGCTGAACAGAGTGGAATACCGCTAGGTTTCTCCATCCAATCTGCCCAGGACTAAGTCTTTACTTAGAGCATCATAGTCGCCAAATTATATCTCATATATCAACCAGTGCAGGAATAAGAAAAAGCAACTCTGAGTAAACTCGCAGGTTCTTTCCGATGAACAAAACAGAGGCCGCTGTCGAGGTTACAATTGCAACATTTAAAGGAACCCGGGCAGCCGCTACGAGTTATTTAATTGCATTGGAACATTAAGCTGGAGAAAGCGGTGTAGGCATCTGACAGTGGTCACGTTTGGCGGACATCCACGGCTCACTTGCCTCCCCCCCCCCCCTTAACGCACACGATGAGTCCGTTTGGCTACAGTCGCGAGTTAACCCATCTCCGCCCTCCAGACCTTTAATCAATTTATTAAACTTCAAGGACAATTTTAAGAACATGACAGCAGTAAGGAATCATTGGTAAGCCAGTTAATGAAAAGGTGTGTTCGTGTGTGTGTGTTCTCGGGTGTACATCAGACATGCGAGAGTTCGCGCACCAACATGGCAAACTTAGCGCAAGGTGAAGGGTTAACACGAGTTGCCAGGTGAATGTGATAGAGCTGAGGGGATTAGTAGGTACTGGATGGTGGTGTCAGCATTTAATGCTCACGTCGCCTTATAGTTTGCATTGTCCTTTCCTGCACTCTTGGCCTGAAAAAGAAACGAAACGGGGATAGCAGCAAATGGGCTCGGTTGTCAGAGGGCGACTTGGCAACAATCGAATATGTAAGCCCTATGTTTTTAGTTCTGCGACATGCCTGTTTATTTAAATTAGATTGACATGCTGCATGAGCGTCGGGCTTTGAGTCAAGTTTAAGAAAATAATAACAGTTGTGTTTAAGGTCAAACTGAGGTGCAATGTTAAGACTTAGTTGGAGATTGGGGTTAGGGAAAGGGGTAGAGTTGGGGTTAGTATTAAGTCTGCCTGCCGCATACCGTCTTACCCAGTCCGACCCTATTTAGCCAGTATCCTCGGATAGCTTGTTTTTTCGCCGGTTTATATGCCCTTAGTTGTAAATCGCGCGGTTTGATTTGGCACATCATTCGAGTAATTGTACAGATATACGATAGAAATGTGAGTTTTCTCAATGGCCTCCGCCGATTTTGTTTATTGTCGACCCCCTCTGTGTTACTAATAAAAGTGGTATCGCTATTCTTCCCACAGTACAGGAGTCCCTGTTCTTTATTTTTTCAAGTGGCCAACTTATCCGATCCTTGCCAGTATCTCAGGTAGTCACAAAGGGCAGAGCAGAGTTAACCTTCGTCTCGAATTCGCCTATACTGCTCCTCAACTAAACAAAATGGAAGGACAAGATCATCCGTTCCAATCAGACGATCAACAGCTGAACAGACTGGAATACCGCTACGTTTTTCCATCCAATCTGCCCAGGACTCAGTCTATACTTAGAGCATCACAGTCGCCAAATTATATCTCTTAGATCAACCAGTGCAGGAATAAGAAAAAGCAACTCTGAGTAAACTCGCGGGTTCTTTCCGATGAACAAAACAGAGGCCGCTGTTGATCTTACGTTTGCAACATTTAAAGGAACCCGGGCAGCAGCTACGAGTTATTTACTTGCATTGGAACATTAAGCTGGACAAAGCGGTGTAGGCATCTGACAGTGGTCACGTTTGGCGGACATCCACGGCTCACTTGCCTCCCCCCCCCTTAACGCACACGATGAGTCCGTTTGGCTACAATCGCGGGTTATCCCATCTCCGCCCTCCAGACCTTTAATCAATTTATTAAACTTCAAGGAGAATTTTAAGAACATGACAGCGGTAAGGAATCATTGGTAAGCCAGTTAATGAAAGGGTGTGTTTGTGTGTGTGTGTTCTCGGGTGTACATCAGACATGCGAGAGTTCGCGCGCCAACATGGCAAACTTAGCGCAAGATGAAGGGTTAACTCGAGTTGCCAGGTGAATGTGATGAAGCTGAGGGGATTAGTAGGTATTGGATGGTGGTGTCAGCATTTAATGCTCACGTCGCCTTATATTTTTGCATCGTCCTTTCCTGCACTCTTGGCCTAAAAAAGAAACGAAAAGGGGATAGCAGCAAATGGGCTCAGTTGTCAGAGGGCGACTTGGCAATAATCGAATATGTAAGCCCTATGTTTTTAGTTCTGCGACATGCCTGTTTATTTGAATTAGATTGACATGCTACATGAGTCAAGTTTAAGAAAATAATAACAGTTGTGTTTAAGGTCAAAATGAGGTGCAATGTTAAGACTTAGTTGGAGATTGGGGTTAGGGAAAGGGGTAGAGTTAGGATTAGGGCCAGTATTAAGTCTGCCTGCCGCATACCGTCTTACCCAGTCCGACCCTATTTAGCCAGTAACCTCGGAAATCCTTTTTTTTCGCCGGCTTATATGCCCTTATTGTAAATCGCGCGGTTTGATTTGGGCACCTCATTCGAGTAATAATATATATACGATAGAAATGTGAGTTTTCTCAATGGCCTCCGCCGAATTTGTTTATTATCGACCCCCTCTGTGTTACTAATAAAAGTGGTATCGCCATTCTTCCCACAGTACAGGAGTCCCTGCTCTTTATTTTTTCAATTGGCCTTCCTATCTGATCGTCGTCAGTATCTTAGATAGATACAAAGGACAGAGCAAAGGCAGAGCAGAGTTAACCTTCGCCTAGCATTCGCCTATACTGCTCCTCAACTAAACAAAATGGAAGGACAAGATCATCCTTTCCAATCAGACGATCAACAGCTGAACAGAGTGGAATACCGCTAGGTTTCTCCATCCAATCTGCCCAGGACTCAGTCTTTACTTAGAGCATCACAGTCGCCAAATTATATCTCATATATCAACCAGTGCAGGAATAAGAAAAAGCAACTCTGAGTAAACTCGCGGGTTCTTTCCGATGAACAAAACAGAGGCCGCTGTTGATCTTACGTTTGCAACACTTAAAGGAACCCGGGCAGTCGCTGCGACTTATTTACTTGCATTGTACAAAGCGGCCTGGTAAACCCTCTGTAGACTGCTGACGGAAAACAGACCCGCTGATGCCCTCGTAAAGAGGTGTAGGCATCTGACAGTGGTCACGTTTGACGGATATAGAGGGAGTATGTAGAGAAATGTTGCTGTATTTTTATGTGAATTGTGTCCTGCGAGGGACGGGAGTTAAGACCCTCTCTCCTCCCAATTAGACTTAGTCTTACCCAAAATTTCAGAGGGATAAAGGTCAGGGTCATGGGGTTAGTGTGAGGATCCAGGATGATGATGACAATGATGATGATGAGTAGGAGGAGGAGGAAGAGGGGGAGGGAGGATGGTGATGACGATGGAGAGGAAGGAGGAAAAGTAGAAACGGGAGGATGATGGTGATGAGTCGTTGTAGAAGTAGTAGTAGTGGTGGTAGTGGTATTAGTAGTAGTAGTAGTGGTATTAGAAGTAGTAGTAGTAGTAGTAGTAATAGCAGCAGTAGCAGTAGGAACAGAGGAGGAGGAGGAGGAGGAGGAGGAGGAGGAGGAGGAGGAGGAGGAGGAGAAAATCATTGTAAGACACGCATTTGTCGGCCGCCGCCTTCAGTAGAGATGTCGGCTGTCCCGCTACCGTTAAAGACAGGGATCAGAAAATGGCACGAACTACGGCCGATCAGGGGGGAGGGGGCAGAACTGGTTTGCACCCGATAGTGGCAATCTGCGAGCGCGAGTCCTGCAAGCCCTATGCTGCGACCTGTTCACAGGAATATCCTCTCTGTAAGAATTAGCGGTCAAAATGGTTGCTCTAAACGTCCTGCTGCAGATGCATTCACTCCGGTAAGTGTAAATCATTTAGATTTTGTCAGTTCTTTCGGGTACATTGCTGATAAAGCGAGGGGGTCAGTTTTTCGGCCAATGGGCAATGTCAGAATGTAAATTCCTCGAAATGTGTGCCAAACACACCATAAAACTGATGGCGTAGGCTTAGAAATGCTTGATATCTCCGGCCATTATTAACCCCTATGTCCTAGGATTATTAACCTACACATTGACGATTAAAATCGGGGCCACCTAACCCTGAACTCTGGCATGCAATTCCAGGTGGTAATAAGAACTCTCACCTGTGCCACATTTTCCGTCAGCCTGACACTTCCTCTAAAATGGCAAAGTTTTAAGTTAAAACGGTGCAATAAGAATAGTTTATTATGACTTCAACTGCCTGACAGTCTACTGAGTGAAAATATACACGTGCTTCGAAGGGAATACATTGAAATTTTACGGGAAAGTGATAATCTTACCTTGTGTCCTCTACGTTCTAGAAAGGGAAAGGTTGAATATGGATTAGGCTTGGGAAACAGACTACTGGGGGAATACAAAGAATTTCGAAAATGGGCCACCTCAGGGGGTTTCTGACCCGATACAACGGATATTTTAGCCCCTTAAGCTGTCTAATCCGACGGGAAGCCTGTTTTTTTCACAGCCGAAGTTACACGCCAAACATACGAAAACGTGCGTGAAATTTGCTAAGTACAGTAGTCGACAGGTTGCTTGGAAAAGCCTGCTTGAGGGGCTAGCTGGCTGTATTGTAAGCAGCGCATTCAATAACTTGCAGAAGGCTGGGTGGGGGGCTCTGGGTAAGGCCCAAGCACAGTAGCCAGCCTACTTCATTAAATGTCAACCAAAATTCGCAAATTTGTTTATGATTCGAAAAAATTACTTGAGTCAAGTTGTTACATTAGTTATAGAGCAGGATAACATTAAGCATTGAAATCACTCTAGGCTGTCGGATTTTGAACAAGCTTCTTTTCCTCCGCCCGCAAAAACTAATTTCTATCAAAAGAACAGCTACGTATGAACTTTTCCCACAAAAGGTCGATGCCCATGTGAGTCCAAATACATTTTATAGAAATAATGCATAGAAATATTCGTTCTTGTGCCGGTTTATTAGCAAAGAACGTCTTCGACGAATCTTTTACTTGAGGAAACGGCTATTCGGGTTTTAGAAACTTCCGATTCTCGAAATATTTTGAACCCAATCTGGCATTCAGGGCTTCCAAAAAACAAACGGTGCCGGCCAATTTTCGCAATGGATGTTGACCATGTTGTATAATTCATGAGTAAGTATTTCATGGTCTATAAACCGTATAATAACAAACCTTTTGAAACCTATTAATACGCTTTCCTTAGGCACGAAATTTGGAGGGAAGTTAGTTGCTGCCAAATAGGTACAAGAATGGATATTTTTCTGTACGTTTTCTGCAAAATATGTTCAGGTTTAGAGGAACGTCAAAGCTACTTTTGTAGTGTAATTTTTGCGGGCGGGTGGGCGGAAGGATCTCGTTCAAAAGCTCGGGTCCTGACGCGACTGAAATACGTTGGGAGTATTCTGCAGAACAATTAAAATTACAATCCTACTCAAGCAATCTTTTAGAGTGTAAACTATCTCAGAATTCCGCCTAACGTTTCATGATATAACACATCTACTGATGGTGGGATGTTAATAATGGTTAGTATGCAGCATTATTCCAGGATATTTCTGTCATGCCAGGATGTTGCTTTTCGGATGAGTTTTCTTTCGCCCGTTCGCAAGAAACACTGTTTGAACAAAACGACAACTTAACTAGATTGGCTTTGTCTAAGTGATTTTCGATGGCATAATGAACTCAAATATGATTTATAGTCGACGTGGTCAAAATAGGCTTCCTCGTATTCACTGGGTAAAACACCACGTTTTTTTCGAATTTTCTGCTCAAATTAAGGGTAGACTTCGGTTTTTAAAACGTTTTCAATTCTTGAATAATTTTGAACCCAACCTGAATTTCCATTTGCATGTTGGGTTCGAACTACTTGCTGTATGCCCTTTGTGTGTGGAAAATAATACATTTTCTACGCAGGTAAGTGACATGTTCCATAAAGACCAATAATAAACGGACAGATACGTTGTTCTATGAATAGAAATTTCACGGTCGAAAAAAATAACTTAATTGAAAAAAATTTTCAAAATCAAAAATTGCCCTTTCTTCGAGCAAAACATTTGAGGAAAACGTCATTTGCTATGGGCTAAGTACGAGAAAGTTAGGTTAGGTTTTCAGTTAGGTTTTCACTAAAATATCTCTAAATCTATGGGAGTATCGAAAGCCACTGAAAAAATACATGCTACGCGAGTAGTCCGTTTTCCACGAATTCGGGTTCTGCAGGCGATCTAAAAGAAACTGGTTCGAAAAACGGCAACTTGATGTGGCTAAAATAGCTTAGAATAACGTTGCATGATAATCAGTGCTGAAAACCCACCTAAGTTATCCATTTTAATTAAAAACACATTCCGGAATGACGGTTAACATTACGTGAAATAGGTCAACAACTGCACATCACGTGGTTAGAACATGGGTTATACTAAAAACCATCCGTTTACTCTCGTGAATAAGAATCTGCCTAGGGCGCCAAGTTTTTCGCGATTCGGTCGGTATTCAACTCCGACCAAACCAAGTGTTATAAGCAGATGATCGTTGGGGTTCAGGCGACAATTCAATGAACCTGCCTGCCGTGTATGAGAGCGGAAACAACATGGCGTTTTGCGTTAACAACATCGCGCAAACTCAGACATGGGCATTGCGAATGTGAAAAGTTACTATTACTAATAATGCCACAGTCAAAAACTACTTGGTGAATAATAGAAAAAAATCTCTTAAGCGTGTTCAGGGGTCGAGATCTGAGCTGTAAATAAGGCCTTTCTAGCTTATAGTGACAACCAAACTCAGATGAGTGAATACGAGCAGTTTTGAAGCAGGGTACGATCGCAATCTAAATATCGTCCTAAAAGAAACAGCAGAATGGATAACCATACGTCTCTGAGCGCGGCCTTAGTACCTCTGATCGGTGCCCTTATACACTTTGAGGATTAAGCTCAGAATGGAAAGTCTGAGAGAAAATTCGCTCTGGCCTGATTTAATGGCGAGGGTCAGAGATCACAGCACCCGCCTCGACCGTAAAGACGGAATGCCAATTCTTCGGCTTCGCGTGTTTAACCCAAAGTATTCTTTTTGTGTCGTGCTCTGAGAATACCTGTTTATTCATTGAGACTCTTAAGTCAAACCCCAACGAGGCCTCCACGGTGAGTGAGAAACTGAATAAACTGCAAGTTCAGACCTTGAGGCTTATTGGAAAATTGTGGAAAAAATACAACCTAGTTCGACTTCCTCACACGATTTTACTAGTATAAAAAAGAAAAGTTGTTCACGGAGTTTCCTTACCACGCTTGTGTCCGTTGCCGTTTCCACGACGCAGTGAATCACGTTTCTTCTTATGACGTCTTCGTTTGGGAACTTTGATATCTTTCGTATCGACCGCAGCGCTGAAAACGAAAACGTGTGAAGGGAACGCAATGAGATGGAGAGGAATAATCAACAAATGGGAAGCGGCATCGAAAGGTTAAGGGAAACTGGAATATTCTGTGGTGAAAGGACTTGAGGAAAAAACACACAAACTTCATAAAATTACGCAACCCAGAGCTTTTGCAGATTGCCCGACTGTGTGGATAATTTTGTGCACGCGGATCATGCTAAAAGTGACTGAAGGTATCCCACCTAAGTTTGAGTCTTTTTCATATAATGCGTCCATTAAACCCCTTTGAGCGTTCCAGCTATGGGCGAATTCCCAGTAAAAGGACCTTCTGGTTGCGTGCGGAGCAACTTCCGTACTTACGGTCGAACTTCCTCTCCGGAGAGACACTTCTTCCAGCCAAGGAATGTGTGCTTTATCACCACATCGTGCGACGTTGTGATCATTACTCACTACAGCAATCATTTTGTCAGAGGTAACACTTAGGATACCATCAATTTTGCCTCTAAACTCTGAAATAGACTCCAGAGCTATGAAGGTGTGCAGGTAAACGCGGTTGCTCGTCACTGAATTCCTCCGAACTTGCAACCACAGATCATTGACTAGAACAACAGTCAGTGAACTACTGAAAGCTAAATGCGAAAAGGTCAGGAGAAAGTCCTGTAACGAGTTTCCTGATCTCCGATAAGGTCGCCGACCCTGTACTGTGAAAGCTCGAAGCACGTGTCTTCCCCCTTCTACAAAGAAAAGTCTTCGATCCCGTACGCTGATGATAAATTTGGGCATTGGGACAATGCTGAATGATTCAAGCACAATCCTAATTACACTTTTTTTATACCCAGTTGACACCGAAGGAGTTAATAACAAAAAGACGCTCCATGCAAGTTCTAAACGTCAGTGGGGAGGGGGAAGGGAGGTTAAGCCAAAATCTTCTTCTCTCGTTATAAACGGGTTGTTAAATAACAGTCAGTGAATGACCTCATTAAGTGTTCGCCGAAATTGTGAGATGTGTTTTTTATTGGAAGGCGTTACGCAAGTGGGGTTAAACTAATGACTATCATGCGAGATAATTCCATGACATTTCATACATGCATTTGGTACGGCTGGGATCAATGCCCTGATGTCCGCTTCTCAATAACATATTTTTGGTCCTCTGCACAAACTGCACTCGGTAAAATCGACTATTCAAGTGAAGTGTATTTTTATTAGTTTTTAATGTTCTTGTAAATTCAAAT